ATTGCAATTTTACCACAATAATGGACCAGTATATGAGCTGAGATCGAGCAGGCTTTGTATAATCCGCTGTCTTTAACATCTATGCTCTGCGCACCACTACCTCTTAGCAAGAAAAACCTGACAAACCCCATTGTGATTATTATATGGTCTCAGTTAAGGTCTCACTTCCAGTATAAACATGTGCTGCCTATTATAGCCAGTGCTCTATTCCCACCACCTCTCCTAGACTCTACCTTCCAATTGTGGTTCAGGAAGGGATTAAGATGTGTAAGGGATCTCTATCAAGACAATAATTTCATCCCTTCTGAAAAAAATGACACAACAGTATGGCATTTCACACTCAATGCCAATTTCTACTTCCATTTCTCCAGGTGTGTAATTACATATAATATGGTGTTGGATAGAGGAATTTCTGCAGCAAGGTCTGATAAAACTATAAAGTACAAGTGAAGGAATGGTCTCTGTTTCTTTGAGTCGCATTTTGGAGCAGCGGGCTTAGGACTTTGGGACTGAAATTTCTGACAGCAGTCTGCAGTGTCAAGAATTCATTCAACACTCATATGCATTACACATGGTTTACTGCAGTTTAAGGTAATACATAGACTACACTTCAGCAGAAGCAGATAAGCAAAGATAGATAGATAAGGTCATCAGGATGAAGCCACTCTATGTCGTGTGTTTTGGACCTTCCCAAATCTTGAAACACTCTGGTCGATCCAATCGAACCAATCTTTGAAACACTTTCTGATATCTAAGGAGATACACTCCAGACAAGAATCACATTATTTGGAATAGCTCCTGGACTCCTTGCACTTACAGGTACGCAGTGTGATGCCATAGCCTTTGTGTCATTATTGGCACAACAGGTAGTGTTGAGTCACTGGAAATCTGCCAAACCACCATTACACTGTAAATAGGTTTCAGTGAAGAAACATTTTCAAGTCTGAAAGCCTTTTGTCTCCTACTTTGAACAAAAATTTGCACCTAAACATTAAGTGTAGGTTCCCTGAACCTCTAGACCCACCCTCAGTTTTTTTTCTGTTACTTTGTTTTGTTCTTGTGTGAGTATGTCCATTTATTTGTGCATTGGACTTGGTGTTTTGTGTTGAGCTGTGATTAGTGTCATATTGTGACGAGTGCATGTGTTGGAAAAGTTCAATTAAAAAGATTCCAAAATAAATAAAAGGCAGGGAAAATAGAAAAAAATGAAACAGTTCCCCCAAAGCAAAATTTACTCAATATAGAGAGGTTTTGAAATATAAATGATTTCAAATAAAAAGGTTCAGTCTTTGAATGCGCTGTGCAAATAGGTACACACACACACACCAAATGGGAATGAACATCATGGGTCATTTTACTTTTCCTCCCTTCAGCCTTTCCTTTTCGTTTGTTCCTTCCTTCCATAATCTGCCCCCCCCCCTCTCCTGCTCTCTCAATCTCTCTCTCTCTCTTTCTCTCTGTGAAGGTCATGCAATTGATTTTCCTCTGTCTATTCATTTTTCAAGACTGGCTTTGAAACGTGGGAAGCAGACAAAAGCCACACCGGCTCCTCCCCTTCACTCCATCCCTCTCCTCTCCTCCACCCTCCACCTTCATTCCCTCTCCGCTGCCCCTCGCCCGTCCGAAAACCCTCGGAAAACAGGGAGCGTGGACGAATGCAACCTTCCCCCCACCCTCCTCCCTCCACACTACTCTCCTTCCTCCTTCCACCCCTCTTTTCTCCCTTTATTCCTTCTACATTTGTCCCTTCCCCTCCTCTCCGTCCTCCTCTCCCTTTCAGCTGGATCTCTGACCACATTCCACTAACGGAATTAAAGTCATGCATCATACTTAAAACCCTGCCAATGCATTGTGGGTAGACTTGTTCAAACTTATGTCCAAATTAGCATCGCATTTTCAGCCTTGGCTCTGCTGCGACTGTGTGACCTGCTTGTAAAAATCTCCAAACATTTAATAAAATACACACATATCAGATCCTGACCCGGTGGAAGAAATGTTGAAGATAATTCAGACTCTAATACCGTCCATAGCTGGCATGTGTTGCGATTCACGGTTTGTCAAATGCCTCACAATTTTCCATGACCTTCGCACAGCTACTGCAGGGTTCTATATATTTACAGTTATGGTCCACATTTGTACGAGAAGCAGCATATACCTCGCATCTGTCTCTCTACCACACCTCCAGTTCATGCACAGGACAGCACAGCTACTTGCACACCTACTTTTCTTAAGAGAGGGTTATGTATTATCAAGGCCAAGGAAAGCCTGGAACACTGAGGCAAAACAATTTGCTATGTGTAGAGCACAGTCAAGGCCACAGCTGTGTATAATACGTGCCAGTGTGTGGATATCACTAAGACATTCAGAATGTGCAACACTGGATAGTAGACACTTCAGTAGTTTCTAAGTACCATCAAGAACATGTAACATTGAATATTGAAAACTGTTAGTTTGAATTGTGCAACAAACGTCCCCAATGACAGGACATTTTTTGATAATGGATAATAACCATTTTTTTGAGTAAACTGAATTTTGTCACTTTGTCACTCCCGTATGAAGACACTGATTGCCAAAACCTGCTTGAATTACCATTTAGTACAGAAGTGGGAGACTACTTCAGTCTAGCTATTCTTTTATCATAACATTTATAATACTTGTATGGTTTCCTGTGTTAAGACACTTTTAACAACTGATGCATTGAGAAGTTTGGCATACTTTGTAAAAAAGAAAAACACGTATATATTCCTCAAATTAAAGGGTTATTAAATAGTTTACATTAAATTAAATTAAATAGCAGCAGTATTCTTTATAGTCCCCTAAGCTCTGAAAACACTGGATCCTACATTTCCCATGGTGCAACTGATATCATCTTTTCATCAGAGAATATGTCTGGTAAATGCCATGTCTTTCAAACTTCACACCAACAGTATGTAACTCAGGCTTTCTGTTATAAATCTGTAGTCTCCAATCCCAGCAGCAGATGTTATGCAACTATTTTCAATAGGTGAAAACAATAAACTGACCTTTACGTGTAAAATCAGGGGAGTGCCCCTTTGAGGATTTTGAGAAAAACATTGTTTTGGTGTCAGTGCTTAAACTTACGTACAGCATTGGCACCACTATTGATACTCAGCCCAACTTATTATAATATCAAACCCATTATATCCTAGCAGGACTGTGTGGTGAATATTGTGGTAAGGAAAGCCACACAAGTCACACACAAACATGCCATTAACATCACTGTTTTTTTGGGTTTTTTTGGTCAAATTTTTTCAAATTAGACAAGATCAGGCATGAACACACACACAGACATACACACACACACATACACAAACATGCACACACACATACACAAACACACACCTCTAATTGTACTGTAGCTGCATCATTTCCCCTCAGTAATAGTAGCAATTAGACAGGCTGTATAATTACACTGTCCTCGTTATATAGTTAATTTCTGTAATTACAAATCGCACCAATAGTTTCCTCCCTCTTTGTGTATCATCTATCTCCGTCTCTTTCTCACACACACAAACTCAAACATACATACACATACACACACACACACACACACACACACACACACACACACACACACACACACACACACACACATTCTATTCATACTCACACTAGCCTATGGAAAGTCTTCTTATGAGTATATGCACATGTATGTTTACAGGTTTGTGACGTGTGCACACATACACAGCAGCAGTAATTATGGTCGCTAATAGAGTACTAGATAATTGTCCTGGTCCCAACTGAATTTTTGTGGCGTGTGGTGTCTCTGTGGGTGGGAGTAAGTGGGCAGATCAGACTGCTGAGGATTTGCTTTTGATTGAAAGAGAGATGTGAGTTGAAACGTGGATTTCAGTGGTTTGTATCCACTGACAACATACATCAGCACATTTATCTCTGCTGTGTAATTTTCTTATAGGCGGGAATCATCAGCAGAGAAATTATCCATCACAGGCGTTTTTTATTTCAGTCTGCATAGTTATTAAAAATTTAACAAATTCTTGAAGGTTTAAACAATTATTTCACACCAGAGCCAAGAATTTAAAACTACTAAGGTCATGAGTCCAAGTCTTATTCACCCCAAGAAAAGTTTGACCAGATAGCAACAAAGGTCCTCAAATTTTTATTATTGGGATTGTGATGTTTTATGCAATTATTCACTAATATGTAAATCTAATTACCCAACATAAAGTTCTAAAAACTGTTTCCAGCCGTCTCCAGGCTGCCAGGAAGGAAAATGTGGTGGAAATTAGCAGTATAATTCCTTTCTTTGATTAATCAATAAAATGCAAGTATATTGAATCTAAAGTATACTGGACTCAAAGTTTTTAATGTGAAACCTCAAATTCTCAGAGGAAGCACCTTAGGACATGACTTCAGTGTCCTGTTTCAAACTAATTGTGTGTTCCAACAGAATGCAGAACAAATTGCAGTGATGGCCTTGATTGCATCAATGGAAAGATGCGATTAGACGCAAATTCACCAGGGGCAAAGATGCATCCGCACAAGCTGACAATGTTTCAACCTAAGTGAAAAATTTGCATGTATCCCGAGGCTTCATGTATCTGCTTCATAAACGTACAGAGACGAGAGGAGATAACAGAAAGAACCAGAGTTCCTGGGGTGTTCTGAAAGCAATCACCAGCTGAGCTGAACACAAACACGCATGCATGCACACCCACAGACATGGTTGGTGCGTCCTCATCTAACATACAGTTGGTACATTGGCTGTTTGTGATCAAAGACAAGTGGTCCAGCAGTCAAATCTGTGCAAATGTGCTGAGGTGAAAATTTGCTTGTTTTTCTGTCTGCACACACTTTTAGAACAATTTTTGCATATGGTACACACTGTCTTCAGTTCTAAAAAGGCAGTTTTATAAATGCATCTACTGTAATGCACACTGATGCACACATTTGCTTGGCAGTATTCTTTTACAGTAATCTTTCTTTTTTTTTTTTTTAGGAGTTTCCCTATAGCTCACCTTTACTGCAGTTGCTGTCGCCCTCCAGCAGAGGGCTCCAGGGCGGGTCCCCCTGGCTGGCAAAGGTGCGCATGTGCAGGTAGCTGATGGTCAGCCGGATGACCGAGGCTTTGTCCAGCTGACTGGTGATGGCCCCGGGAAGAGGCAGCATCTTAGCCAGCTCGAAGAACTCGAAATTCTCCTTCCCCCGCCGTGAACGAGCCGCATTGCGAGACTTCTCTTTACGCAGGTTCTGGAGACTGAGAGGGGAGGGCGTGTTATGGGTGGAAAAGACAAGGGGGGTGGGGGTGGGGGGTGGGGTGTAGAGGGAGACAGAGAGGAGTAAAAAAAATGGAAGAAATATATAAATGCAGGGAGGAGAGAAAAGAACAGAGGGGCAGAGAGAATAGTCTGAATCAGCACTGTGTGTAAGATGAAAGAAACTGGTAAGGGGTATCACATAATGGCCACTTACTGACCACCTGTTGATTGATTCATGCTCTGTATAAATGACCTGAGCATCAATCTAGAAAACTCATTTCATAAATACATATGATGGTAATGGCTCCTGCAATTCAAGTGAAACAATCTCCATTCTGACCCATCTCTTGCAGATTGGCCTAGTAATTACAGACAAACTCTCGTCTTCTATCTGGCAGAGCAGAGTCCTAATAATGCCATTTGCTCCAAAATCCATATGTGAATACGCACACACACACACACACACACACACACACACACACACACACACACACAAACTCACACACACACAAACGCACACAATCTCTCGTGGTCTATCTCTCACTTTCCCTCCCTCCCTCCCTCCCTTGCTCTCTCCCTCTCCCTCTCTCTCTCTCATCTGGTCCCGGGCTGGTGAGCTGAAGCCGTGATTGAGGGATCAATAGGAGAGGGAGGGGCAGAGTGACAGAGGGGGGCCGGGGCTCAGGTAGCCTGTCTCTCTGATTGGGTATTGACTCTCTTCAATGAGGCCTGAGTGGTGGAATTATGTTGTCACAGCCACTTCACAATTTGTGTCGGTGCTGCGCTGGAATAAAGTGTGTGTGTGTGTGTGTGTGTGTGTGTGTGTGTGTGAGAGTGAGAGAGAGAGAGTGAGAATGAGAGCTAGAGGAGAAAGAAGAACCAGCCTTTCTCCCTCGTGTCTGTGTTGTTGATTCTCATCAAGACCACAAGTAGTGTGTGTGTGTGTGTGTGTGTGTGTGTGTGTGTGTGTAAGAAAGAACAACAACAAAGAGGACTGCACATAGTGTATGTACATATGTTTATATTTTAATCAGCTGACACAGTTACTATTCTCTAATAATTGAAAATTGTGTGTGTGTGTGTGTGTGTGTGTGTGTTGTGGACTCACAACCCTGCCAGCCTCTGTAACATCTCATTATTATACTGCCTCGACCCCAGCCACCGAGAACAATCAATACACACACATTGATTCTGCTTAGTTTTTATATCCGCCTGTAAATGACTGCCCATTAATAATTCTAGCCAAATTTACTTAATCTCCCAGTAAGGGGAGGGGATTCACTGCTCTGACAGGATTGGCAGGTGAGCAACAAAACAGGTTATATGTAGCACCTTCTGGATTGTGTCTCATTGATAGGAAATTCTTCTTCAGGTTGTCAGTGTGTACAAGGGTGTTAATGCATAGATTTCACCTTGCAGCAATTAATGCATGGGCATGCATCCAGGCTTATACAGTATCAGTGTGCGTGTGTGCGTGTGTGCGTGTGTGTGTGTGTGCGTGTGTGTGTGTGTGTGGTGTCTCACCAGGGCAGGGTGGGAGGCTTGGCCAGTAGTCCTTGTAGGAAATCCCACTCCACACTCACACACTTCCCCTCGCTGACAAACGGCATGGTTGCCATCCTTCTCCCAATCACGTGCCGACGCCGCCTTTAACGAAGGCTCTGATTGGCTGAGGATGTGACAGACTCGGACCTGGATATCAACGTGAGAAAGCAAAGGAGGACCAAAGAGAGAAATAGGATTAATTTAACTCATTTAAAAACGATAGATTTAACACATTTTTGGAAGCCTTTAATTTTTTAATACACAAAAATCACAATTTATTTCTCAACAAAATCCTTTTTTTAAGCCTGAAATGAGCAAGAAGAGTTTCTAAAAAAAATGGATGACTTTTTATCTCCATTTAGCCTTTATCATTTGATAGAATATAATTTGCATGAAAACCCATTTTATGAGAAAGAAAGAAAGAAAGAAAGAAAGAAAGAAAGAAAGAAAGAAAGAAAGAAAGAGAAAGAAAGAAAGAAGTGTTGACGTTGAGAGAAAGCAATTAGGTACTCTATGTACTTCCACACATAAAGGTCAGGGGCCGTTCCCAAGGTAATAGACATAAGACAAAACACTGAGCCTCCTCTGAAGTCACAATTAAGCTGAAAATCACAGATCTTCGAATGTCTCTCCTCATCCCTGAGAGAATATTCAGACTTGTCTGTGACTGGTGTTTAAAGCAAATATCTCTCAATCTCTAATATCTCTATCTATGAAACACATGCTTTCCCCTGTGCCACCTTCTGCTGGTCTCCAGCACTACCCTCCTGTAGTGGAAGGTGCCAATATTCTTCCCTGTCCTCAAACTGAGCCCTGCTCTTCACCCGTTCCCCTCCGCACCCTGCTCCTCCTCCTCCTCCCCTCTGTGCTGTGTTGACATTTAAAGGGCTAGTGTGGCCCCGAGCACCACGGTGTCATGCCCTTGGGCCTCAGATGCCCTCTCTCTCTCTCTTACTGCCTCTCCCTCTCTAACCGTCTCTTTCTTTGGCCTGGCTGGGTCAGCACAATCAAGTCAGTAGAGCTTTGCTGGGGCAGTAGAAAATGGATTATGTCTCGAGTTTGAGCATGGTTATGCTGACCTTGGCTAAGAGGGGTCGGCAGAAGCTGGGCAGGTTTGGCAGATATCATTTCACAAATCTAGGCTAAAACAGCCAACATTAAATGTATGCATGAAAACTTCTTGGAGCAGTTTTAAAGGCAGCGGAGTCAACGAGGGCTTCAACAAAGAGAGAACAGTTGTTGAAAGGGGAGATCGGGTCAGCAACTTACCTTTAGTAGTGTTATTCTGTGTTTAGGCAGTGGTAGTAAAGCAAAGAATTATGTTTTCTATTGGTTACATGCTCCTAGGTCAGTGATAGAAAGATTGGTCTCTATAGAAACTGGGTAAGTGGATATACAATGAATATTTACTTCCCAATATCTCCAGTGTTTATCAGAACATATGCATTAATGGAGATTGAAAAAAGGTGCTCAAAGCGTAATGATCACTAAACAAGACAGAGCTCTAGCAGCTCTGTGAGGCTGTACTTAAGCACATGAACAATGCTAACATGCTTTTGTTTAGCATGTAGCCTATGAAGTCTCTTGTGTTCACCACTTTTGTTTGCTAATCATATGCTAATAGGCACTAAACACAAAGTACAGCTGGGGATGTCACTAGTCTTACAAGTATTTGGTCAGAAAGCAAAGTTTTGACCTGATGTAAAAACAAAAGGAAGAAAAGGTTAAAAAAAAAGAAAAAATTGGGCTTTAATACATGATTTTTACTACATTACTGCACACTATTCATCTAAAGTCTTTATCACAATAAACTGTTTAACCGTTTATGCTGATGAGGATGAATGAAGGCTAATGTTACCTTTTGAGAAAAATACATTAGTACATGAGCAATTACAGCACGATTAATTAAAGTCGCTGGACTGAGTGTTACGTATAAATGGTAGTTGTAGCTCTTTAAAGTTACATCATATGGGCTTCAAATAATTGACTTTAAAATTGAATACCTTATAACAAAGTAAATATAAGTCAGTAAGGAAATGATGAACTTGCTAATTTGACACATCTGGTTAATTTTCCAGCCCCAGATTTAACCTTTACTCAGGGCATTTACATTGACAGAATATACTGTTCTTGGCTTATGTTTTACTTCATTCAGCTATAGGAAACCTTTATATTTTCCCCTCAAGCGTCCAGCCTGCAGCATTGACAGTCCTCTTTTCAGAGAGTCTGGTGAAGAGGAGACAGGGTCGAACAGAGGGCAGCGCACCTCTGTCTAACAACTTCACCTTTGTCACCTTCTCCAGCTTACCTGGATAAATGCACTACATGCCAAATTAGACTGCGTACAGTAGGACAGAACGATCAAAAGGAGACACAGGCGGGAAACAATTTACTCTCAAATCTTCACCGCCTCACAAACACACGCACACACATACACACACCTTTTTCCATCCCATATCTGTATGTTTATCTCTTAATTGACCCTATCTGTGCTTATCTAATCTCTCCCTCCATCTTTCTGTCTCCATCTATCTCTCCATCTCTCCCTGCATCTCCCTCTATCTGGGCCGACACAGGGGCATAATGGACAGGGGCCTCCACAGTAATTATTCAATCAGCCTCATAACCTTGTCGCAGGTTGGGCGGCCCATTAATGCACTCACCCAAATGGCCCCCGCCACTTTGACTGCTAATGCTCCGGCTAGCTAGCAGCACAACAGGCTTGAATGTCAGACGTGTCATCTAGACGCAGAGTGTGAAACAATCCTTTCAACAGAACTGAGTCAACTCATTCTGTAATGGCACAGTTGGAAATATATGGAAAAGGAAAGTGTGACTTCTGAGAGCACTGAGAGTAAAAATATACTGCGCCCACAGCTGTAGAGATCAACCTGTATCAAGTGTGACCGCAGGTGTTCACAATGTGTTGCTGCAGTGCTACATATTCATAAGTGTGGTGGATGTGTGTGTGTGTGTGTGTGTGTACACGCGAGTGTGTGTTTGAGACCCCTACCCTATAGAGCCGTGCTCTCTTGGCATGGTCTCAAGAAGCAGCAGAGAGGAGGGCACTGCGGCGAGCGTTCGCAGCCGCTGTTTGCTGTGCGTTTCTCTCTGGCTGCTCGCTTGGCTCCCGCTCTGTTTATTTTCAGCAGGGACATTTAATTAGGGCCTCCAGCTGTCAGAGGTTCGTTAGCGTGCCCCTCCTCTCCCCGAGCCACCCCTCCCCGTAGGGAGTCAGGGGCATCAGGCAAATGAACACATTTAAGTCAAACAGCACGCAGACAGACAATAGCCCCGCTGCCATGCCACCAGCTCCCCTAGGTAGAGACATGGTTGTTTTATGCCTCATCTCCCCAACCCCTGGGGCCCAATACAGAGCCTGGCCAAGACTGTGAATGTGGAGGTGGAGGCAGAGGAGCTCTCATAGCCCACTGGAGACGACATGCACACTGCGATAATGCAAAGGTAAAGAGCAGGACTGAGCCTCGCAATGTACTGTTTATAAGAAAAGGAAGAAGAGAGTAGTTCCAGTTCTGAGGATTTTTATGATTTTCGATGTCGTCTGAAGGACGACAAATCTGATAAAGATCTGTGAGTCTGAGTATGGAAAAACCTTTAATATGTCTCTTCACTGTTCATTTGATAAACTGAAAAAACACAGCGGATGCCGCTACTTTCTTGCTTAATACCTGACATTTTAGCGGGTATCCTGGTAGCTGAGGGATAAAGACACATACCATATACCATGACTGTAACATTCCTGGGGCCAGTTTCACCAAGTCTGCAACATGCAGGCTGCAATTTCCAACAGTACTTCATTTCCCTGTACTTGCGATCCATACATGGGCATGAATGAGCCCTGTAGGACTCGCAAAGTCATCTGCAATGTGTAAGTGACAGCTGTCAACATCTGCTATGTGCTTTTAAGCAACGCTCGCTAATCATTCTTTTGAAAAGCAGGACCCTGATTCGAGGGCTGCAAAGGCAAAACATGTCCCAAAAAGTGACGTGTATAGCATCAAACTGGTTATTTGTAGTGTTTACTCAAATAAAAACTTCATAAAAGTTAATAATAAAAGTTTTCTGACACCCCTGCCTCTTTCTCCACCCCCCACCCCTATCTTTAATTATCTCCAACCAAAGGTAAATGCGGACTACACATTAAACAGCGATGTAAGATATTCCTGTGAATAATATTTTATCAAATAGAGAACGTTCAATATCATGGTGTAGGTGTAGAAAACATGGCTGGAAATAACATGAACAGAATATTTGATGTAGCTAGTTTTCTATCTTGCCTTTCATGATGTTGAGTAGTTGTAAATGAGTGTCTGGAGCGTCCGGGGAGATGAAGTTTGGTATTCTGGTTGGAGGGCTGAAAACTACTTATCATGCATTACGGCCCTGGTTGGACCCCAGGATTTGGAAGTCAAAAGACTTTTTAATGTACAATTTTTCAGCCGCTGATCAATCGACAGCTGCTGGACATGAAGATCTCTCTCCCTCCTCTCTCTCAGTATTCCATATTCGGACTCGCTCGGCATATCGGAGCGCCGGCTGCGGTTGACCTTGACGACTCTGGATCATTCCCAACCCAAGGTTCTCTCCAACTCTCAAGGGCCTTGGCGTCACCCCCCTCCCCCTTTCCCTCCTCTACCCCCTTCGCCTCTCCCATCATCACCCCCCCACCCCATCTCTCCTAACCCTGTCTTTGCTCCTCCCTGGCCCCTGCCAGGGTCATTAATTATCTAATGGAATCAATACGGCGTTAGATTGGACCAGAGTGACCCCACCCGCCCCCCAGGTATCTCTGTGGTGATGAGGAGGAAGAGGAGGGTTCGGGAAGGGTGTAAAGGAATGATGATAACAGCTTGTGTGAGTGAACCAGCACCGTGCAGTCACAGTGTGGACCGCCCCTAAACTGGAAGAATACAGAATAAAGAGATCAGCGATAAATAAATGATTAGAGGGAGGGGGGGTTGGGGGATGGAGAGAGCATAAGTAGAGGCGTAGGGAGGCAAATCAGACAGAGAGAGACGGAGAGAAATGATGGACGGATAAAGACATAGATGAAAAAATAGGAGAGAGAAA